CATTTGACTTCAGCTCAGGTCCTGATCTTGTGGTTCATGAGTTCGAGCCCTGAGTCAGGCTCTGTGCTGACTGTTCAGAGCCTTGAGCCTGCTTTGCATTCTGTGTCTCCCTCTCTCTCTGCCCCTCCCCTGCCTGCATTCTGTCTGTCTCTCTCTCAAAAATAAATATTTAAAAAAACCAAAAACATTTGTCAAGTGAATATGCAATTACCCTAAATTTACAACCACAAAAATTCAAGGCTGACTGGGATTTCAAAATCTAGTCTAAGACTTGCCTTTCAGATGAGAAACAGAGGCCCATATAAGACAGGTTTTCCCAGACCACACAGCTCTTTAATGACAGCCTGGCTGGGAACTCTGCTCTCTCGAATTCCAGCATTTCCAGTACCTAGTCAACTTGTGCTTGTTTAAGATGGTTTCTGCATAATACAAATTGTTTCAGTCACTGTACATATGTTGTCAGTGTTTATAAGTTCACATTAGAGCACAGAGATGATAAGGTGGGGGCATCTACCCTTAAGGTACTTAGAACCTAGTTTAGGAAATAAGCAATAGACTGAGTAATTTGTTCATCCATCCCTCCATTCAACAAGCATTTATGAGATGCCTACTACATGCCACACACTCCTCTATAGAGGCACTGGAGATAGAGCAGTGAACAAAACAAGTCCCTGTTCTAACGCATTAGGGAAAGAGAGATGATAAGCAAGGAGACAAACAGAAATATGTGAAATGGTGATCAGTGCTATGAGAATGAGGCCGCATAGGAGAATAGAGAGTAGTGAGGGCTGCTATTTAGGTAGAGTGCTTAGGGAAGCCCCCTCTGAAGAGAGGAGACAACATGCACCTACCTAAAGGAAGAATATTTTAGACAAAAGAACCAGCAAGTGCAAAGGTCCTGAGGCAGAAATGTGGTGGGTTCAAGAAGCCTGGAACAAGAATGGCAAGCGGTGAGGTTAGAGAGGAGGATAGGGGCCACAGCACAAGGACCTTGGAGGCCACTTTAAGGATCTGGGCTTTAACTCTGAATGAGTTAAGAGCCAATGGAGGGTTTTGACTGACATGATGAGATTTATGTGTTAAGGGGATCTCTATTGTGTTGGAAATAGGCTGAAGGTGGACAAGAGTGGAGGAAGAAAAGATGTGGAAGGAAGCAGAAAGAGGTGTGAGAGATGATAGTAGCTTGTTCCAAAGTGTTAGTGGTAGGGGCATCTGGGTGGCTCAGTAGGTTAAGCATCTGACTCTTTAAAAAAATTTTTTTACATGTTTATTTTTGAGAGAGAGAGACAGAGCATGGGTAGGGGAGGGGCAGAAAGGGAGAAGCAGGCTCCAGGCTCTGAGCTGTCAGCACAGAACCCGATGTGGGGCTCGAACTCATGAACTGTGAAATCATGACCTGAGCCGAAGTCAGATGTTTAACCAACTGAGCCACTCTAGCACCCCATCGTCTGACTCTTAATTTCGGCTCAGGTCATGATCTCACAGTTTGTGAGTTCAAGCCCTAATTTGGGCTCTGTGCTGATAGCACAGAGCCTACTTGGGATTCTCTCTCCCTCTCTGTCCCTCCCCTGCACTCTCACTATCTCAAAAATAAATAAGAAAACATTAAAAAAAAAAAAGTGTTAGTGGTAGAAACAGAGAAAAGTGGTCAGATTCTGGATAGATTCTAAAGGAATAATGACAGGATTTGCTGATGGCCTGGATGTGGATTATGACAGAAAATGTAAGAGGACATGATATAATCATAAATGGGATAATCCAACCAGAAAATGTAACAATTATAAATATTGATGCACCTGGCATGCGAGGATCCAAGTACATAAAGCAGTTAATAACAAACATAAATGAAGTGATCAATAGTAATACAATAATAGTAGGGGACTTTAACCCTCACACCAATGGACAGATCATCTAAACAAAAAATCAATACGAAAACAGTGGCTTTGAATGACACATTGGACCAGATGGATTTAACAGGTATAGTCAGAACATTCCGTCCTAAAACAGCAGAATACATTCTTTTCAAGTGCACATGGAACATTCTCCAGAACAGATCACATATTAGGCCACAAAACAAGTCTCAACAAATTCGAAAACATCAAAGTCTTTTTAGTATCTTTTCTAACAACAACACTATGAAACTAGAAACCAACCACAAGAAAAAATCTGGAAAGACCACAAATACATGGAGGTTAAATAACATGCTATTAAACAATGAATGGGTCAACCAAGAAATCAAAGAGGAAATTAAAAAAATACATGGAGACAATGAAAATGAAATATAAAGAACTGATACAACACCAAAAAAATAATCTAGTTAAAAAAATAGAAGACATGAGCAGACATTTCTCCAAAGACATCCAGATGGTCAACAAATACATAAAAAGATGCTCAGCATCACTCATCATCAGGAAAATGCATATCAAAACCACAATGAGATCTCACCTCACACCTGTCAGTATTGCTAAAGTCAAAAACACAAGAAACAAGGAAAGGACGTAGAGGAAAAGGAACCCACCGTCCCTGTTGGTGAGAATGCAAACTCATGCAGCCACTGTGGAAAGCAGTATGGAAGTTCCTTAAAAAATTAAAAATAGAACTACTATATAATCCAGTAATTCCACTACTACAAAGAATACGAAAGCACTAATTCAAAAGGATGTGTGCACCCCTATGTTTATTGTAGCATTATTTACAATAGCCAAGATACGGAGCAGACTAGGTGTCCATCGATAGATGAATGGATAAAGAAGTGGTATACCTATACATTGGTATATTATTCATCCAGAAAAAACAATGAAATCTTGCCATTTCCAACAACACACATGGATCTAGAATATATGCTAAATGAAATAAGTGAGTCAGAGAAAGACAAATATCATTTGATTTCACTCATATGTGCAATTTTGAGAAACAAATGAACAAAGGGGGGAAAAAAGACAAACCAAAAAACAGACTCTTAACTATAGAGACCAGATGGTTCCCAGAGGGGAGGTGGGTGGGGGGATGGGTGAACTAGGTGGAGATTAAGAGTACACTTATCACAGGGTGGGTGCCTGGGTGGCTCAGTCGGTTAAGCATCCGACTTCGGCTCAGGTCATGATCTCACAGTTTGTGGGTTCGAGCCCCATGTCGGGCTCTGTGTTGACAGCTCAGAGCCTGCAGCCTGCTTTGGATTCTGTGTCTCCCTCTCTCTCTGCACTTCCCCCACTCATGCTCTGCCTCTCTCTCCTTCAAAAATAAACATCAAATAAAAAATTAAAAAAAAAAAGTACACTTATCACAATGAGCACTGAGCAATGTATAGCACTGTTGAATCACTATATTGTACCCCTGAAACTAATTTAACACTGTATGTTAACTAGACTGGAATTAAAATTATAAAGAAAAGAAATAAAATGGAAGTCAAGGAGACAGCAAGTGCAAAGAAGAAAGGCCAGGAGGAATCTTAGAAAATCAAGGGCACAATAGGCCTTGCGTACCTGTGCACCCAGTACCTGCTTTCTTCCCTGCTAATGCAGATTCCTGTTTGGACTCTTGGCTTCTCGGGAGGATGATGGGCAAGACTGAAGAGAACGAAGGTCCAAGGAGGCAGAAAGGCTCAAAAGCAGCACTGAAGTTTGTCAAGTGAGACAGCAAGAAGATCCTCGAGGATCCAGGCATCTAGGCTTGATCACATAGGTGAGCCAGGGAAGGCTTATAAGAGGGAAAGGACAGGAAAGTCTGGTCTGGGAGGCTCCTCTTCCTCCAAGCTGGTGTCACATATAGGAGGGGGGAAGCTGGATGCTGTGGCAGTTGGTTAAGCAGGGACTTACGTCTGAACTAATCTGCTGGATGTGAATGGAGAGGTAAGATGACAAGTTGCCTGTAAAGGAAGAACTTCCAGTTTGGTGGCAAAATAAACACAGGGGGTATGGGAAAGAAGTGTCATTTGCTTTAGGGCCCTCACATCTCAGCGAACAGAGTGTTGGTGACATGGCAGTCTAGGCCACATGGTCTTTGGTGGGGTCTAGGTAGAGCGAGGAAACCAGTTTGGGAGTCCCCTTATGTTAGGGCGACAGTGCCCCATATACTGGGAGAAGAGATACCAGAGCCTGGTCTGCCCTCGGCACAGGAGGCACAGAAGCTCTTTCTTCCCTCTGATTTCCCCTCCCCTCCCAGACCCCAGCACCTCTAGTCCATAGTTTGAAGTCAACTTCAAGTTCTCCTGTTCATTTAGACCTCCAGCCAGAGTCCAACCCTAAGCCGCTTGTAAGGCCCGAATCAGAGGCCTCTAGCCAAGAACCGTGGAGCCCAGATTTTTCCATGTGAAGTTGGTGGCTACAGCAGCTGTAGGCTGTGCTCTTCTGGGTGGCTAACCTCAATCCTCTCCCCAAACTCAGAACCCACAGAGGCCAGACAGCTTCCTAGCCAGAAGCTGCAGGTGGAGGAGGGGAAAGGGGCCCGGAGAGGTCAGCAGGAAGAAAACCCAAGTACACCGCTCTGAAATTACATCTCTATCACTTCCCTGTGACCCCTGCTACCTACCTTTTCATCCAACAAAGCAGATAATGACTCCTCTTTCAATAAAGTTTTATTTTAAATCCCCAGTGAACATCTAAGAAGAAAATATAAAGTGCTTGGCTTTAGGGTTGGGGGAAGCAGGAAAGGTCCTCTGAGTTCACACCATTTGGACTTTTCCCAATTCAGTTTCTCAGAAATGAAAGAGGGTATATCTCAAACTTAAAAAAAGGATAAAAATCATCCTTCAGTTCTCCACCAGCCAGGTACACGAGCAGTTCAAGGACACAACCATCACAGACAACCACCAAGAATGATCACCAAGGGAGCCAGGTCAACAGTGTGGAGAATGAGTTTCTTTCAAAGGAGATAGGAGGAACAGAGCGAAGAGGAGGAAGGCGGGTCTCCCAGGCTCTGCAGCAGGGAGAGAGCGGCTGACTGCTCCTCAGGAGTCTCCTCCAGTAAACGTCGGGCAAAGGCCTGCTCCATCTGTGCCAGGAAAGGTGGGGGAGAGTATCATGAGCACAGCTGGGGCAGACATACCCCCAGGAGCTCCTCCCTGCCAACCAAAGGCCCTTCTCCACCTGGAACCCCCTACACCCCACTCACACAGGCAGGCTAGTCTTCCCTTGCCCTGAACTCACCTGCACTGTGATAAGACTCTTCGGGGTGTGGCTGGGGCCAGGGCTCTCCTCCCAGAAGTTCAGAGTCACCTGGAACTTGGGTGGGGGGCCCAGGCCCTGGAAGTACCTGGCCAGGTCTGATGAAAGAGAAAGGATCAAGGGTTGGAAGAAAGAAGGCAGAGGCCACAGGCAGGGAGGGAATAGAGAGGAACCCATCATGGAGAAAGAGGGGTGGGTGTGGGGCCAATTGGAGACCAAGGCCAGAGCGGGAGCTGCAGGGTCATGGCTGTTGCCTCATACCAGGAGGGATGCCAGCAACTAAGCTGCTACTCACCCATGTGCAAGTAGGAAAAGGTGCCCCTTTTTCAAGTAAGAAGTATTTAGAGGTAACCGATTTTTATACACCCTCAAAGCTCTCTGCTGGAAGAGCTTAGAGTCCTCAAGGCAGCAGCCTGGGCTGCTAACACAGAAGTGTCCCCACCTCTATTGTCTGCTCGCACCCTCCCTGCCGAGGGCATGCGTGGCCCTGCAACACTCCCACTCTGTGTCCCCTGTACTCCTGGCCTCCACTCCCAAGGTGAGATTTAGAGGTGAATGGAGGCAGGAGGTGGAATCCCAGGCAGGGGCGGACGGGAGAAGGACAACCCAAGGAGCTGCCCGGGGTGCAGCAGGGCTAGTGTGTGGGAGGTGTGCGAGCTCTCCCAAATATGGGGTCGGCCCGTGCAAGTGCATATGCAGGAGAGGGCCGCGAGGTGCACCTTCCCGTTACTGCATGCTGCCATGTGGTGGCAGTCCCCAACATGTGACTCATGTGCTGAGCTGCATCCGAGCCTCATCTTCCGAGACCTTGGCTGGGGAAGGCTGGCTGCCAGACAGCTGCCAGGGCGGAGCACAGGGCCCCACAGGATGTGTGTGCACCGCTCAAGTGCAGGGTGCCATGCCTGGGCTGTAACGAAGGATCTACTGGAAGGAACACAGGGTGGTGGCAGAGCCTGCAAGGTCCCAGGGGGTCCTAAGAGATGGGGGCAGGGGCTCAGCTCAACTGGAACAGGCTCACCTCTGCAGAAGTAGGTGGTTCTGAAGAGCTCCACGCACTCATTGCTGGGCAGCAGATGCGGGCCTGGACCGGGTGGCGCCTGGGGCGCGTTCCAGGAGATGGGGATGGGGCAGAGACGCTGCACAAAGAGGCCTCTGGAGTTGCTGGCCACTAGGACACCTCTCTCGATCTGGCTCAGCAGGCGCTGGGTGGGCTCTCGTGGGTCAGGCTTGGGAAACACCACCTGCTCCATCCCATACTGGGAGCCTGAGGGCTCAGCCACAAGGCGGCAGTCCAGGCTCTGCACCTGGGCTTCGCCCACCACGCGCCCACCGTAGATGAAGGTAAGCAGCAGCGAGTAGTCTGCGAACAGAGAACGGCCAGCTGCACCAGTGCTTCACCCCAGGGGTCCACCCGGCCAGCACCAGGTCCTGGGGAATGAGGAGGGGCCGCTGGCAAACCCCACATCCTCATTTTGCTGGTGAGAAACATGAGGCCCAGAGGGAACACAAGCAAGGGCAGGGGTAGCAGTCTGACCTTCTGTGGTTAGAGAAGGCACTTCCCTCCCCATCTGCCCTCTCACCAACCCTACCAGCCAGGGGGCATCCTGTGAGGCTTTGCCATCACTCACAAGGGTAGCTGATGCCCACTGAGGCCTCAAGGCTTAATGCCCAGGGTCTTACGGTTTATAAGAAGGTCCCGAAGACTAGGTCTCCACTTGACCCACAGAAATGAATGTCTCAAAGTGAATTTCCAGGGAACAGAGTGCATAGGGGATACTTTTTAAAAAGTTTATTTATTCATTTTGAGGGGGGCTGCAGAGAGAGAATCCCAAGCAGGCTAGACGCTCTCAACTCAGAGCCCAACGCCAGGCTCAATCCCACAAACCATGAGATCATGACCTGAGCCAAAACCAAGAGTGGGACGCTTAACCAACCGAGCCACCCAAGCGCTCCCTTCACCCATCCCCCCCCTTTTTTAAGTTTATTTATTCATTTTGAGAAAAAAGGGGGGGGGGAGGGAGGGAGAGAGAGAGAGAACACGAGGAGTATTTTTGAGAAGTGAGCTGTTAGGAGGTTGGAGTCTGCCCAGGTGTCCCGCCTGGAAAGCAATGCCTCTGTCTGGATAAGGTGGGCCCTGTTTCCTGCAAGCCCCGACATCCTTGATAATGCATGTGTAGCTACAGGGAGACAACCTGGGGGGACAGAGAGCAGAGAGGAGTCAGAAACACCACACACCTGAGTCTGGAGGAGGCAGACTCTCCAATGACACCTGATCTCCTTGGAAAGGGGCTTCTGTTGTGTCTGTACCTATAAGGGAAGCAGAGGCATGTCATTCAGATGGGGACTGGGGAATCCAAGGGCCAGAGGGAGTGGCTGTAGGGGAACAACACAGAGGCAGGGGAGGTGGTACCTTCCTGAGGCTCAGGGCTGTTGCTGCTGCTGCTGCTCCCAAATTCTGAATGGCCTGCTTCCCCACTGGCCCCCACCTCCTCCTGCAGACACAGTGTCTATTCGTTGGCTGACCTCTCCCCTAGTTTACTCTCCTGCCCTCAGGCCCACTCCGTTCCCTCCCCAGCTCTTACGTTTTTGAGGGGGTCCTCAGTCAAAGAGGGACTGAGTATGCAGTTCTTTGTGGTACCCTCATCCTCTTCCCTCTCAGAGGACACAGAACTGTAATGTCGCTTTGATGGTGATTTCTGGGTCCCTGGCTGGGCTGTGGAATATTGTGGAGGGGGAGAAAGGTCAGAGCCTTAAGTGGGAACAGAGGGTAAGGTAGAGAGGAGACAGTGAAAGAATATGCAGGACCAGGCAGGGGAACGTGGGTAGGAGTACCCCAGGGACAGGGCAGAACTCTGACTGAGGGGCCTGGAGGGAGGCCCACCACCCTCCCAGAAACCTCCTATCTCCATCCTCCCCCTGTCCACGTCTGCTGATTCTAGGAGCGGCTGGGCAAGGGGACACCCACCAGGGAGGGTCCCCGATGGCAGCAACCGATACACCTTGTAGGGCTCAGCTCCATCCCTATGGCCATTTTCAGGAACCTCCTCAAATTCGGGGCTCTTGTTGAGAGCACAGCGCAGACGAGTCTTCCAGATAGCAGGGCCTTCTGTGTCTCCCTCCTTGTACTTCCCCTTAAATATCGCCCATGCCTGAGAAACACAGGAAGTAAAGAGGAGACAGCATGTCACCCTGACCAGCTGACCCTCTCCTACAGCCGGCTGCGGGCACCTGCGGCCTGAGCACCTGCACAGAAGGCCCAGTGCTCAGGTCCCCGCTCTGCTGCTGCTGTCTTGAAATCCTCAACAATTTTTGAATTTTCATTTTGTCTTGGGCTGTGACGACAATGCGGCTGGCTCTACCCTCCCATCTCCCCTTTATCTGAAACCCAGGCAGACCTCTTGAGGGTGAGAGATTGTGTCTACTCCACCCCTTCCTCGGAGGGGCTGGTTTCCAGGCCCATTCACCTTGAAGAAAGCGGCATCCTGGTCCTCCCGGAAGTCCTGCTTGCCTGCATGCTTCCAAGGAATCCGGAACATGGTCTTAGCTGCATCGTCCCAGCACACCCCCGGGAACTGCCCGCTCTCCACTTGCTCCACCACCCAGTTCCGCAGCTTTCGGGTGCAGCGTGCCCGGCCCGATGCCATCCTGGGGACAAGAGCAGCAGGCAGCATCAGTGGAACTGATACTTCAGGAGGGAACATCTGCAGAGATCCTGACCACTGGGGTTGGATTCTGGCAAGGGCCCCCAGAGACCCCATCCACCTTTTGCCTGTGGACATTTCTCACAATTCCCTGAGGCCAAACCGTTTCTTTCTGCCATCACTAGTAACCAAAAAACACACCCTAACATCCCAAGCTCCGACAACTGGAAGGAAACCCTAGGCGCTGGTCTTAAAACTGTCTTAAAACTGACTTTTCAGGAATCTGTTGTCTGGAAGAGAACTCCCTTGGTGTGGTTCCTGGAGAGAGGCCCGGTCTCTGCCCCAAGCATCTGCGAAGGCAGTATCTGTTTGCAAGATACTTCATAGATCCCTCACCCACCACCCCCACAACCTATCCTTTGACCCCCATCTGTCCCCTCCTCTTGCCTCTGGGGTAGGTGGGGCAGAGCTCCAGCGGAAGTGGGCAGGGCCAGAAAGCAAGAAAACAAACAGGGTCAGCTGGAGCCGGGGGCTGACTTCCCTGAACAACCCACAGCAGGGACCTCCTGTTCTTTGCCTATAGGGCTGGGGACAGTGGTCCCCAGTCACTCTCTCACTCAGGCCAAACCCCCTGTGTCCTGGCTCACAGGCGGTCTGTATATTCCTGTTTGGCAGAGGGGCCCCAGGAGCCCCCGCCCCCCCACCTCCAATCCGGCGGGGCCCTCTAGCTCTAGACCCACGCTGACATCCGAATGTCCGCTGATCTTACCTGAGCGGCTTGCTGGCTGTCCCAGGACCCAGCTGACCTCAGCTCGGCAGCCGTCTAGGCAGCTTCCTGATCTCTCCGCCCCTTTCTACAGTCCCCACCCTAAGTTTCAGTTCTCCTCCAGGAAGGGCCTTTTCTCAGAAATCACGTGGCTTGAGCTGCAGGGCAACGGCTTGCCGCCAGGGGGAAGCAGCATCTGAGAACCTCACTGTTGGAATCCCGCTGTCGGACACAAGAGGGCCCCCTTCCCGCTCAGGCTCAGTCCCCTACTCCCTTAGATGCTCTTTGATCTCTGTTAACACTACTGCTTCCCAGGGAGGCCAGTGTCGTGGAGTCTGGCCTGAGGCCTCTGGCTAGCCCTGTACCACCGGTGCATCTGTGTTCCCCCATCGTGCCTGCTTGGTGTCTATTAGGTGACCTCAAATATCAACTGAATTCCATGAAAGAACAAAGGAGGCAGGGGAGGAGAATGCCCAGGCCAAGGGGCTGGCTGGGGAGATGGGCTCCTTGGCCATCCATGGTGTCAATTCCTTCCTAGCCCTGAGTCCAAGAATGGTCAGGCGGTAGGCTGCAGGTGACCCTTTCGGCAAAGCTGTGTTCACCCCCCTCTTTCCCTGGTGCCCCAGATGGTGGGGCCAGGAAGAAGGACCACCAAGAAGCCTGGGCAAGGAGATGCCTCTTTATTGGTGCTGGAGCTGTTCCTGAGGAGGCTGGGCCATGAGACCTTCATGAGGATCCTTGCCCTCAGCTACTTCCTCCTGCGAGGGATACTTTGTCCCAAGGGCACTTCTTCCATCAGCTTCTGCAGAAGGAGAGAGATGATACTGGAAGTTTAAAACTCAGACACAAGCTGGACAGGGGACTTCTTTCTAGAGTGTGGGGTCAGAGGCGAGGCTGGAGGGAAGCCTTACCTGTAACAGGCGGGCGTGGTAGGCAGGGGCATCTTCCCCAGCTGCTGGCTGAGGGCGCACATGCAGGTAGCGCTCAGCAGCCGTCTCCAGCTCCTCCACCTCATACAGGGTGGCTGGGTCCAGTGAGTGGGCATTGATGAGACTCACAAGATACTCTTTGTAGTGTGCCCTGGGGAGATGACAGGGTGGAATATTTGTTCTTCCATTTGGCTAGTATTAACTGAGTGTGCCCAACACCTTGCTGGGCACTGGCATACTCAGACGAACAAGACTGACAACTCTTCCCAGTTGCACTTGTAGGCACTGTCCCCCTGTGCACACTGCCTGCTATTACCTAGCCATGCCCTTGCCCAGAGAGCCCTTCCCTCACTTTCCCGGCAGGACCTACTACTCCCAGAGACCTCCTTTACTACCCATGTGTATCCTCAGCCCTCCTGCACGTCCCGCACCGCCCCCCCCCCGCCCCGCCCAACACTATGCTCCTGCTGATACTCACTGGCAGAGGCCAGCATGGCCAGCTGGAGTCTCCTTGCCACAGGCTTCATCCCGGAACCCATTAGGAACCTCCTTCTGCTCCATCACTCGGCAGCCACCTAAGGGTAAGGGAAGGAAGGGACCCTTTTGTTGGGAGGAGGTTGCTGACCACAAAGCCCCGGGAGAACTGGGGTATCAATGGAGGCATGGGAGGCAGCCTCCAGGGAAGGGACTGCTTTAACAGTGGTAGTGGTGGGGAGGGATGCACTTAGAGATACCATCGCAACAGACCAAGTCTGATAACAGAAGCAGGGGCCTTGCTGGCCCTGCTTTTATCTAGGCTTGCTTTGGGTCCATAATCACATACTCTCTCTCTTTTTTTATTATCACATACTCTCTTGGGACAACTCTTCTGGTTGCGATTTAGCTCTTGCCCAGTTAACTTAGTCTGTGAAGGTCTTACTTTATGGAAATAAGAGGTGGGGTAGGTTAGAACCATATGTAACATCTTTCTGTCACCCTCATGGAACCTAAAACAGTGCAACTAGCAAGTCTCATTAAATACTGCTTAACTAATGAATCATCATCCTTTGGGAATGGGAGAAGAAAATTAGTATTAACTGCTAGGCCCTCAGGTAAAATAGCTTAGCTGCAAAGGAGATATTACTCCCATGTCACAGAGGAAGAAACAAGGTCCAGAGAGGTTAACTTGCTAAGAAGCCCACAAGTAAGCACAGGATGGACTCTGACCACAGACCCAACTGTCCCCTTTACCCACCATACAGTGGAAGCCCAGCCCACCCTCACCCCTTCTCCAAGGCTTGTCCTGACACTCACCACCAGGAACTGCCCGGGCTCCTGCTGGGGGCTCTGTGTTGAACATGACATTATTGTCCTGAGGAGGGGCAGATGGATGGGCATTAGGATCCCCTTGATGCCAGCCCACTGAACTTCCCAGCACAGAACCTTTCCTTTCTTGCCACTCTGAGCCCTGCCTCCTAACCTGGGCAACTCACAAACCCAGCCAGGCTGGCCACCCCTGACCTGTAGCAGCTTCTGGAGCCGGAGAGCAGTCCAGTCCCGCAGGTAGAAGAGGCAGTCTCGTGGGTGGTGGCCATGTAGGGACTTTTTCACCCTGCAGTTAGGGTCTGGACATTTCTGGCGGAAACCCAGATGGGAGAGAGGAAGTTGGAGACTGTTGGGGTCCTGGCTTCTCAGAACCCCTGCATGAGGGGTGTAGGGATGGGGGAAGATGGAGACATTGGAGGGTCTGGAGCAAGTGAAAGGGGAGAGGGGACAGAGAGAGGTGCTTTACACCCCACTGGCTTCCTCTTCTCTTCCCCTAGGCGACTCCTCAATGTCTTTGCCCCTCACACCCAGTAGCAGCCTCCCACCCTTCTATCCCTTCCACCCCCATTCTCTGGGCTCACATTCTTGGCGTAAAAGGCATTGTAGCAGCCACTGCAGAACTGGTGGCGGCACTGGGTGCAGTGAAAGTGCATGCAGCCTCCTCGGGCCAGAGCGTACGAGAACTTGCACTTGGGGCAATCTGTAAGGTACAGCAGGTCAGGGCTGGGGCTGTCACTGCTCCACAAGGTCCTCAGGAAGAGAGCCACTGGCAGTGACATACGAGTGGGCACACAGGCCTAACAGGACAACCTTACCAATGCCGTTCTCCTGAAGATACATGGCCAGGCCCTGGGCCTGGTACTCTGGGTCGTTGGTGCGTTTCCAGTTCTGGAAATCCTCACAGCTCCGGCCTCGGTGCTGCTCCTCCCACTGCGGGAGGGAAAGCAAGCTTCACATGAAAACCCCACCCCGGGCCCTTCTTAAGGGCCACCCCTCCTCTCAGATCTAGAGGTCCCTGGCTTCGTTTATGGCACTGCCATTCACCATTTGCTCCAATCTCAAACTGAGGGGCCAGCCTTGGTTCTTTGGCCTCCTCATACCAGCACATGTTCACCGGCAGGTCTTATTCCCACCACCCAGGCCTATCTCAACCCTGTCCCCTTTTTCTTCATCCCTCCTCTGGCCATTCTACTCCAGGCCAGGTCAGGTGTTGCCTCAATTAGTGGTCTCTCTTCCTCCATTCCTGCTCCCCTATGGTGCATGCTCCACCCTGCAGCCAAAATGTCTTTCAGAGTGTAAGGCAGGCAGCTTCAGCAGTTCTGGGAGTGTTCTAGTTGTGTGTGTGGTTTGTTTGGGGTTTTTTTGGAGTGTTCTAGTCTTTGAGGTCTAGTGGTAGGGTCTCAGGTATTCATTTTATTAACGTGTTTTGTAATAGAGAGAACTTTTTGGTATCAAACATTAAACTTTTTAGAATATGTGCTGCCAAAGTGAGCACTCAAATATTAAACTTTTTTCAGATATTAAACTTTTTAACAGGTAAATGAAAGAGTATCACCCCTAGCTTCGTCTTAGAATAAAAGGCAAATACCTTCCTCACTTGGCCCCATGGCCTCTCCTGATCTGGCAGCTAGCTCCTCTCTGACCACCCACCACTCTCACCCTTGATCTTGGGGCTCCAACCACACACCACTTTTTCTGACTTTGGCCTTTCCATGTGTTGCTCTTTTTGTCCTGAATATCCTTTGCATAATTGGCTTCTTCTTAACTTTCAGGCCTGAGCTTAAATTAAACCATTTGAGAGAAGACTTGTCTGACCTCTCCATCCTAAGTAGGTCCATTCTGTTATTCCTAATCTCAGAGTCCTGTGTTTTCTTTGTAGAATTTAATGCCACGTGTACTTATGCTCTCTCCCTTCCTTCCTCCTTTACCTTACCTTTCTTTCACTGCCCCTCCTCCTCAGCCTCCCTCCCTCCTTTCCTGGAGTCTGTAAGCTCTTTGAGCCCGGAGTTCATGTCTGTTCTGTGCTTCAGCACACCCCAAGTCTGACATAGGACCTGCCAGCAGCTTTAGCAAGTTATTTCTGAAAGGATGAATGTGCCTCACCTGGCGCTTACAGCGCACACAGAAGGTCTGGTGACACTGGGGACATGTCGCCTCCAGCTGCTCTCGTTCATATATGAAGCCAAAGGAGCACTGTGGGTGCAAGAGCATAAAGCTATCTCAGGCCTGACCTGGCACCTCCATCCCTCCAGTCAGCTGCCCTGGGTAGGCCACTTACTTGGGCACACCACAAGAACTTGGGGTCTCGCATCAGCACACCCTCAGTCAGCTTCTTGTGAAATAGTGCATAGGCATCTGGCTCCAGGCTCTCCCGAAGCTGAGGACAGGATGCAGAAGTGGTGGATGGGCAGGGTTCCTGTTCAAAGCCCAGGGCACCCCAAGTCCTAGGGACTGAAGTACCTGAATGTCAAGGGTAGAGAAGTAGCTGAGCAACTGTGTGTCATCGGTGAGGTCAGGGCGGCCACAGGCAGGGCACACCATGTCTGTGATGTGCTTCTCCTTCAAGGCGATGGTGAAGTGCTGGCGAAAGCAGTCAGGACAGATGGTGCACTCACAGGAAGTCAGGGCCTGCATCTATAGGGTGAGGCAGGGAGAGGAGGGGGTCTGAAGCCATAGCCGCCAGCCTGGGGAAGAGGCATTAGCCAGGTGTCCACTGAGAAACCAGGGTCTAATTAACAACCGGGCAAGGTAGCAACCCTTAATGCCAACAAGTGCCTGGCAGGCAATCCAAATGTCTAAAGACTGTCATTAGTTGGAAGAAAAGAGAACGGTGAGGCCTAAATAAATGGAAGACTGCCCTCCAAAGGCATTCACATTCAATTAAAAGGAAACAAACAAATAACATTTCTGAACTGACAAAACCATACAGATGGAGAACAGGCTAGATATTGTCAGGTGATAGGAGAAAGGGAAGAAAGTTACAACTATAAAGAGGTTGCATGAGGGAGTTCCTTTGTGGTGATGGAACAATCTGTGTCTCAGTGGTTACATGAACCTGTAAGTGGAATAAAACTGCAGAGCCACACTCACACATCCATGTGAAAAATGAACAAGATCTGCAATCTTGCTAACATTGTGCCAATGTTTATTTCCTGGTCTTGATACAGTACAATAATTATATAAGATTATATATTTATATTTATATATATATTATATAATTATATAAGATGTCATCATTGGGGGAAGGTGGGTAAAGAACACACAGGACTTGGGAAATAATGAACTATTGGGACCTCATCAAAATGAAAAGTTTTCGCACAGTGAAGGAAACAATCAGCAAAACTTAAAGGTACCCGATGGAATGGGAGAAGATATTTGCAAATGACAATTCAGATAAAGGGTTAGTATCCAAAATCTATAAAGAACTTATCAAACTCAACACTTGGTGAAGAAATGGGCAAAAGACATGAATAGACACTTCTCCAAAGACATCCAGATGGCCACCAACACATGAAAAAATGCTCAATATCACTCATCATCAGGGAAATACAAATCAAAACCACAATAAGATACCACCTCAACCTACCAGAATGGCTAACATTAACAACTCAGGCAATAACAGATGTTAGAGAGGATGCAGAGAAAGAGGATCTCTATGCACTGCTGGTGGGAATGCAGACTGGTGCAGCCACTCTGGAAAACAGTATGATGTTTCCTCAAAAAATTAAAAATAGAACTACCCTATGACCCAGCAATTGCACTACTAGGTATTTATCCAAGGGATACAGGTATGCTGTTTCAAAGGGGCACATGCACTCCAATGTTTATAGCAGCACCATCAACAACAGCCAAGGTATGGAAAGAGCCCAGATGTCCGTCAATGAATGAATGGATAAAGATGTGGTATATATATACAATGGAGTATTACTCGGGAATCAAAAAGAATGAAATCTTGCCATTTGCAACTATTGGAGGGAACGAGAGGGCATTATGCTAAGTGAAATTAGAGAAAGACAAAGACAAATATCATATGACTTCACTCATATGAGGACTTTAAGATACAGAACAGATGGGGCGCCTGGGTGGCGCAGTCGGTTAAGCGTCCGACTTCAGCCAGGTCA